TTTGTACCTGATACCTTTCTATGAAATCGTACCCGCAATAAGATTTCATGCGAGGGTTCAGGTGTCGAAACCTGACTCGCAGGAACACTATCGCTAGCGCAATTGATTCTATTGTGCGGATGCAAGAAACTGTATCGTTCAATGATGAAAGTTGAGACGTCGCCGTTACGCCTTGTTTACGTTATAGATCCGAAATAAAATTGAGCAATAAACTGTATCTTGCAAATTGAATGAGCGTTGCACTTTTTCATTGGAATTCTATGGAAATAAGGAACTGTCCTCCTGAGCGCGGGTCAAGTAAAAGTACCAGTTTTCGAACATGTACTTAATCTTAGATGTTCTTAGATTATTTTAGTTTTTAAATATGAATGTTTAAACTTTCAGCGTAAAATATATTGAAAAAAACATGTATACGAGTAAATAAAAAAATATATGTATATTTTCGATATCTGTATATACATACTTTTATGTTAAAAAATCTTAAGTATTTACATTTAAAGACTAAAGCAATAAAAGAATGTCCAGAATTGAGTACATGTTTGTGCGTTAGTACTTTTACCTGGCTAGAAGCAATTTTCAATTGTCGTAAAATCTTGTTGTTAAACATACAATTATCTGATAATCGAGCAGAAATCTATGTAATATTGTATACATATTAAAAATTCTGGAAGTAGTAATGACGCTGGAAATTCCAGGTTGCTTAAGTGCGAGACGGATAATTGCGATAATAATCAGGATGATCGATATCGATGTTGATGGCTCGTACATGTCAATTTTATCGCTATCTTCGACACTCAGCTTAAATGGACAAGAAGATAATCTATTAAGAGTAACGAAAGTATTAGAAGATGCACGTCGCCATCTAATTATTATGCTACGAACATAAATGTGGCACAGTTTAACGAATAAACTTAATGATACCGTAGAAGATCGTCGGGTCGATTGAAGTTTGTTGCGATCGAAAGTCTAACTGTACTTAGCAAACGAATTCACGTTCCAACGGGTTTTGTTTGTGAATAAATAATTAAGACCAGTTTCCATCTTTTTCTTCTTCAAGCAAGCTAAGTTAACCGTAATTAAAGCATTGCTTATCTGTTGCGAAAGCTGACTAGAATGTAATCGACCAAGAACGCTATATACTAACTTAATCTCACGCTGTTGAGATATCACCCGAAAGTGCAAATATAATCTTGAACGACCGCATATTCCACTTGACATATTGCGTCTAGGTTTCTTTTTAGATAAATAAAAACATTACGGTAAAGTTGAGGTAAACGTTCGTTTCAAGGCTAAGGTGCGTTTCATGAGGCAAATATTGGAATGATTAAAATTGTAAATTGAATATGAGTATCTCGTCCGTCAATTACATGTACATTCTTTAACTTCTTTTAAAGAGATATCCTACTTTACAAGAACATTTGTGAGTCTTGGGAACTGTTTTCGAAGAAATGTAGAATGTTGAATTTTTCACGTATGCATGCATGTTTACAACTCTGTCATTTAAAAATAAGAAAATAATAAAATAATGCCGTAACATTATAAATTTGTTCCACGTTCTTCTCAGAAGCGATTAAAAAGGAAACTTAACTCATTTATTTCAAACCAACAGACGAGAGTCGCAAAGTGTGTGACAAGCCTAGACGGCAGGAATTATACGGTTCCTACAAATCACCACGTTTAATACTGTGGCATTATTGTATTATTTCTTAATCTTTAAATGATTAGTAGGAAAACATATATACGAACCCAATACTCTACGTTTTTCCGATTCGCTTAAAAGATATCCTAAAATTGGTTCTACTTTCAGAATTCTTAACACGCATACAATGTTACACAAATTTCTGCTCGATTGTCGGGTAATTGTACATTTAACGACAAGATCTTACGACAACTGGAAATTGCTTCTAGCCAGGTAAAAGTATCAACGCACGTTACCTGAACATTCTTATTGTTTTTTGGTCATACAAAATAGGATATTCTCTTAAATAAGTGATCGTTTTCTCGGCTAACGCGACTCCAAGCCGCGTAAATCCCTCGCGAAAAATGCATATTTTTCAGGAACTTTTCAGGAAGCAATAACGCACCAAATCGCGAATCGCTGAGAACCCCTTTGTGAGAACAGCTCTCCCTGCTAGCGGAAGGGTGCATCGGCGATTTCCCTTTTTCCGCCGCTCTCTCGCTTCCGATGCTCACGCCGCGATCTACCGCTCGTTTTGCCGAACGTCTTCGACGAGCAAAAAGTCGAGCGATGCGTTCGCTCAGGTGACCATTATCGGCGCGCCGCCGTCGACGGGGCCTCAGCTACTCTCCCGACCGGAATCTCCCGGCCGGTCTTTCCGATTTTCCTTTTGCCAATTTCTCCCGGGAGATCCGACAAACCAGTCTGACGGCGTCGACGATGAGCGGAAATGATCGCCACTATTCGCTCCTTTTCGTTCCTTGTGAAACGTGCGGCGACATACGCGAGGTGCGCTCAGATTCGCTTATTTTCACGATTCGCGAGGATATCGCGAGAAGGTCGCGCTTGCTGATTCATTCACATAGACAAATTCGTCAGGCAGCCGTCTGGTTTCCTTCACTTCGGTCGTCTCGAAGCGGAGTTTCAAAACGGTAGCGACAGCACCTTTCGCCGTTACTTTTTCTTGCTACTAGAATCAGTCAGATCTGGGTCGTAAGTTCAGAATATGCTTGTTGACCCAATCGCGAAGACGGGCATTAACCCCATCCGGCGCTCGAGAAGACGGCGGTGAATAATGGTGGAAACTAGTCTGGTTTGTGGTTTGCGTGAAAAGTGTTGTGTATTTTCCTCAGACCCGAATTAAGGAGATTCTATTAAGATTTTGCTTCGGAAACACTGCTGAGAGGTAATATCTACTCTCTATCTTATTAAGCATAGATTCTATTGTTTGTTTCCTTTCCCGGCGTTTTCCCGATTCAACCGAGGTTCCCGGATTCTCTGATCGTTAATTATTCGAAAACATCAGCCGCGTGCCTCGACATCTCGGCTGGAAAAAAAGGCCGACTCCAAGTTGGTCGCTCGAAGTGTCTATCACGAAAAACTAATGCGGCAGAAGTGGGACATCCCGTATGTACGTGACGCGACACAAAATCCGCGCGCAATCATCGCGAGCACATCGTGGAAGTCCGCGCGTGTTCGCAGGGATTCAGCGTCACCGTATTTTCCGACCGATTGTCAGTCGCGATTGACTGCACGGCGATTCGTTTCCTACGTGTTTCCCATGTGCGAAAACCATAAACCGCTGCTATAAAACTGACGCCATCAAATGGCCATCTCAATCAAACTGAATGAGCGTTGCACTTTTCCAACGGAATTTTATAGAGATAAGAAACTATCACACGTGTAGGCACGAAAGGCAATGTCCGTAAGGCCTTGTCGTTAAACGTAAAATTACCTGACGATTGCACGGAAATTTGCGTAATATAATATGCGCGTTAAGAATTCTCGAAGTCATTCCAATTGATTACGGCAGTCTTTATCGCAAGAAGAAGGACAGGGACAGCAACGTTGAGCAAGGCGGTTGTGCCGCAATTCCTGCACACTTATCTCCGAGTTCAATATTTATTTTGTTCGTTCTCAATGCGTCTCTCTTAGGATTTCCAATTTTTATTCTAAATTTGATACAAAGGTTTGTTCTAAATATTGTTCTAGATTTATCTTCTAAGTTCCAATAATTGTGTAATCAAATTGTGTGTGTAATATTATTGTGTGTGTAATATAAATTGGATATTTATCTCTAATTAATATCGCCGTTGTGCAATATTAACAATTGCACTTATTTGTATGTTACTTTGCAAGCAGGGAAGATAAACATGCATTTTTATAAGCCGCGTTATGTCATTATTGCGCATTATTGCGCATTATTATTTGCGCAGTAACGCGTGTACTATTGTTTAGCGATTAACTGCGTATCGTATTCATATATTCACCGATATCAGAGTTACATTCCTAAAAAGAGCAAAATACTCAAATGACTGCTAATGACTACTAATTCATCAAATGAATCAATTGTGCATCTAAAGATATTTTTAGGTAATTTCTCATCAAGTCGTGGTAGTTAAGTAGCTTTTTTATGCGAACAATGTCACGAACATACGTGCCAATTTTCTCATGCTCGTAACGGACTTTTAACATACCCAGAGCGCACTCCAAGTAGGTTCACGATTTTACATCGATCTTAATGACAGACAATAAACACGACTGGCATTTAGATTCGCGGCTGAACGGCGACTACTAATTTCTCCAAGCGTTTGCTAGAGAGGTACGTTCGATTTGCGCCTCGGGGAATCTATGAATCGAATTGTTCGATTCAACGTTTCTCAGCGTTCTCGTCGTCTCATCCCATAATGATACGCTCGCTCTAGATCGTGACTCAACCGCCAACGCGATACCGGTAGCGAATAATTGATAGAGATAATGCCTCGAAACGGGAGTACTCGCGGGTCTATCAAGTGTAAAATATCGCATCGGTGTTCCAGGAAATTGTTATTCAGGCGTTATGCTAATAACGATAGCGGCCGCGAGCCATGGACCGAGAAAGCCGTTATGAGTATTCCCATGAAACACACCGAAACTGCTCCCTCGACTAAAGCGCATTTTTTTGCGACTGACAAAAGCCGCGGTAATCGAGGAATCGAGGACCTTGATCGAAATCCTATTCCGAGCGAGCGATTACGCGAAATGATTTAAAGTGAAAAAAGGATTTTGTTGTCGAAACGACAATTTGGTACACCGGGCCGGAATTTGGTTAAAATGGGAATTAAAAGTTTGGTTGGACTGCAACCAAAAAAATTGTTTGCCGCAATATGTGTGTTTTGGTTTCTCAATAATACATGTACTTAACACAAGTAAAAATCATGTAACGCCAATCAAATCGTGTAGTGATATACGTATACCAAATATTTTAGTTTCAAATACAAAAATAATTTTTTCAATGTAGCTGAAGTGTCGCTAATTTATGAAACGCAATGCTTTTCAACAGATCCCGTTGCGGGTCAGAGGTTCTCGGTCTTCGACGAGAAACAGGATGAACAGAACGACATGGAAATATTTCGCGCGGTCGTTGAATCAATGCAGAAGTGGACATTGCAGAAATTGTCTCATCATAGGATAAAGAGGGATGTGTCAAAAGTCTGCTACGAGGACGTCGGTTGTTTCGAGGACACCGGGCCGTTCAATTACCTCGAGATGTTACCGTCACCGCCTAAGGACGTTGGCACCAGGTAAACACACCGAGATGTCCTAGTACCGTACGTGACAACTTGAATATACCTTGTGCGCATAACTACTCGAGTTGAAATTTTGCTTCTACATTAATGCAAATTCCGAACTTGAAGGAGTAATGAAGGATCTCGAGATACAACATTACACAGGCTATTCTACCTTGATGCAACAAATGATTACTTACTGTTGGAGTATTCATGTTGAGGCTTGAAGGAAGACTCGTTTCAGCATTACTTAGTATTCGTCCATGATATTGCGTTTAATTTATTCTTACTTTCAATGAGCAGTACGTTAATTATATAACTTATTCGATTATGGATAGAATATAAGATAAGCGAATATTAAATAATTAATATAGAGAAAAATGAAACTGCAATGGGTAAACAAGACAATAAGCTTTTTGTGATCATCTATTTATCATTTATCATTTTATCTATTTATCATTTTTATCATTTATCATTTTATCTATTTATCATTTTTCTTATTGACGCTGAAAACTTCAATAAGACTCAAAGATTTAAGAGAGGTGAAGAGGGGGATAGCGAGTTCCTTGTCTTCATGAGACAATACTTGTATGACTAATAAATCATCTAAATTGTGACTAAGATAGAAATTTTGATTTAAATCTGGACAATATAAATGATAAACGAAAGTAAAAAGTTGTTGACAGGAGCAAATAAAACATGTCTCACTCAATGAATGTTATTTGAACGAACGTTATCAGATGATCAAACTATTGTAATATTTGCTAGATTTACATTTTGTTCTAAGATCGGTATGTATAGTTGCAAACTATTTACGATCTTTTTGAATGAGAGCAGAATTAATTACAAATTTTATATTTGTGAGTCGTTATTTGACTATTTCAATTAATATTTCTTATATAACATGAATACACGTACACAGATCTGCATAATGGCCTTAACATATATTATATAATTAGGTTACTATTTTTTAATTTCATACATATTTATGACTATTCATGTAAAACTATTCCAATGACGGATTACTGCTTTGACACACATCGTTCCCGTTCTTCTCTAAATAATCAATAAATAACAAATTAATAATATGTACGATTAGAAAATCCTGACAACCTAATTGCATGACGCGTTAAAATTATTATGACGGTCTATATGTATGTACAATAATGTTGACGAATAATCGGGCTTTCACATAAGGCTATAACTACTTATCAAACAATGACGCACTATGAGTGCCGGCCTAAGTTTCGACTCGAGTATTTTCTTATCCTCGTTGAATAGTTTGTCAAGCGTCTGTTAAAATCGAAAACATCTTATATAATAAATGATTAGACACACCTAGAAATATATGATATATCGCTGCCTTCATCTCGTCGTTCTGCCTACTTCATTCTGGCTTTCTGATATGGAATTCTGCTTCTGGCTATTTCGTGACACTGACACTGACATTGACACTAACACTGATACTCACATAAATGCAATTCGATCGGGAATGTGTTCATGAACGCTGACGAAAGTCCGATTAAATATTTGAGGAATTTATTCAGCAGATATGTATTTTTTTTCAGAATGTCTACAAGGGGCTATATTTTTACTTGCTTACTTATTTTTTGCAACTTCTTTCTTTTTACTCGTCTTGTATCATTAAATCGAAATTTTCAACGACAGTAATAACAAATAGACTGAAAAAGAAACAAGGTGAAAAAGGAAAGTTTATAGTTTTAGTTACCCATTAATCTCATTCTTTCCCTATGTAAATTTAATATTTGCTTATCGCACACATACTTTATGTGCAGTCGAGTAAGTTGTATAATTAATATGTCGCTTATTGAAACTAATCGAAAGTTAAATACAGGTAGAACATCGAGATAATTAAACATTAAATAATTCGGAAACGAGTTCTTCCTTAAGCCTCAATATGGAGGAAATGTTAATGTTAAATTTGTATCATTAAAAATCATAATGATATAAATAATATGAATAATTTTATATTTCGAGATTCTCCATCGCTGTTTCAAGTTTGATGGAATTTGCAGGGTTAAAGTAGAACTAAAAGTTCGATTCGGGCACTAAAAATGTAGCATTATTCACTATTTTGCTAAAGAATAAAATTTGGCATATTATGTAGTACTAAAATTGTTTATCCTCCGGCATAGATTCCTCGTATACGGGAGCAGGAGGGCGAGATCGATCCCCATGGATGTGCCCGCCGACGATATAAACGACAAAGTAAAGCGTGCCATAGATCCCAACCTACCGACCAAAGTGATCGTCCACGGATTCGGGAGCAATTGCAATCACTTGTGGGTGTACGATATGAGATCCGCGCTGATGAACATCCAAGACTGCAATTTAGGTATAATAAAATTTGCGCTTTTTTTATTAAGGAGAGAGGAAGGAAAGGGGATAAATTAAATTATTATAATACAATTTTCATCTGGATATTTACTTTTCATCTTTTTAATCGTGGACACGTGATAGACGAACGAAATTTTACTTAAATTACTTAAGGAATTAAACTTTCTCATGACTGATAGTAACCTGTAAATATGTTTTATGATTTTTTCCGATTGATCTAATACTGTCATATTTTCATAGTTTGCGTCGATTGGGGCCCTGGCAGCGCCGTGCCAAATTACGTGAGAGCGGCGGCCAACACGCGACTGGTAGGTCGACAATTGGCGAAATTAATTCGCAGCTTGAACGTACCACTGGAAAAAGTGCACATGATAGGATTCAGTCTGGGTGCTCATGTGGCGGGATTCGCCGGGGCTGAACTCGGCAACGTTTCCAGGATAACCGGTAGGTCAAATGTCGTGAATCGTTCGTGATCTTTTCACGCGAAAGATATATGCCGGGTTTTAATAAAATATTAGAGAATGCGAAAAACGCGCGCGTGCAAACTTTTCACGTAAATGTAACGACTGTTAGTTCGCCTGCACTTGCGGAAAATTGAATTTCTGGTGAAGCGAAAATGCACAGGAATCAATTGCTTTCTTCAAGTGTAATCTCCCATAGCTGTTACAGTAAAATTGGATCTCAGATTCGCGAAAGAATTTATACTACCACTATGAGGAATCATTCACTGCGGAGGGTTTATTGAGGACGAAACACTCGCGCAATGGTCATTCTCCTCGTTACCGCATTATTACTCAACTTTACTCCGCCCATTCGTATCCGCGTTCGTATCTATGACTTGATGCGAACGACCAGAATTCCCGTATAAATTTTTCATGAGCAGAATTACGAGTATCTCCGACGATCGTAAGTCTGGTTGATCGAGCATCAGCTCTGCCGTATAATCGGCTATTGGAGAGTAACTGTAACAAGGTCCCTTTCTCAACAGCTGTTAGTTACATTTAAGCGTTCGCTGCATTCCGCCTCTTACTTCGACACGCCCCGATGCCTTTTGATCGGGCTGCGCGATTGACCTCCACGGCAAATTGCGTTTTTCGTCAGCGGTACGCTCTTTTTCGCGCAAGCTCTTGCAATCGAATTCTTTCCCTGATTTCGGCAAGGTGAAACGCGGGGAATATTTCTCGAAGCGGAGCTCAATCAGAGCAAACCGCATCCCTCTGCCGACACGACTTTTACTTCTTTTAATAGCTCTTAGGTTGGCAAACGGGGAGAATGGGAAAGGCTTATTTTCGCAACTTCGATATTAATTTTATACGTTCTCCATTGTGGGCGTAACTATAATAGATAGTAGCCGGTTATGTTAAATAAAAATATATTATTTTTCCCTTCTCTTATTCTTCTTGCGCATAATAATTTGTGCGAGTAACTGGTCGATATTTTTGAGCTAGAATCATTACTGTGTATTACTTAATAATTCAATTACAGTGTTTTGAAATTCGCGCTTATAATCTCGTGCTACGTGTTGGTGATTTCATTCAACAGAAGCTGAAATGGGACTTCTTGCAAAATGAAAATATTTATTAAATACTACGAAGTAGTTGCTAAATAAGAAATTGCGAGAAACGGTATTCACCTCAAAGATCGTCGCACGTTTTCGCAATGCGAACAGGACTGGATCCCGCGGGGCCGCTTTTCGAGTCGCAGGATCCGATGGTGCGCTTGGACGCAACGGATGCGAATTTCGTGGACGTGATTCACAGCAACGGTGAGCAGCTGCTCCTCGGCGGACTCGGTTCTTGGCAGCCCATGGGTCACGTGGACTATTATCCGAACGGCGGAAAGATGCAGAGCGGATGTTCGAATATCTTCTTTGGTGCAGTCACCGACATCATCTGGTGTAAGTTTTTTTGAGCGTAACATTAACATTTTATTTTTTACTGTGTAACATCGCGTCTGTCATTATTGCTGTAGCGAGCGACGTCGAAGGAAAGTCGCTGTGCAATCACCGGCGGGCGTACAAGTTCTTCACCGAATCCGTTAATCCTAAGTGTCGATTCCCGGCGTTCCCCTGCGATAACGGCTATGAGGGTCTGCTAAAAGGTGACTGCTTCCCTTGCAATGCTAATGATGCGGATAGACCCTGCGGCGAGATGGGTTTTTACAGCAACGAGTCGCCCGCTCGAGGCCGACTTTACCTCATGACGAGAGATGAGGAGCCTTTCTGCGCAGATCAGCATCAGATCAAGGTGTACAACAGCCGTAGCGAAAGACCCGTCAAGAGCCACGGCAAGCTTCAGGTAACCTGACGCATTTAATCATTTCGCGTCTTATCCGTCGTGTTCTACGATTCCTTTCGTCCTTTTCCAGATTACCTTTGTGGGAGAGGACTCTTACAATGATACGTTTGCTATGACACGCAAGGATGAGGAACTTCTTGTAGGATCTATTCTTCAGAAGATCATCGTGCCACATCCAGCGGTTAACAATCTCGAGGGAATCGAGGTAAGCCCATTTGTGCATATTTGTGTGCACTTCATCCAAAGTGTTAAATTGGCACAAGTAGAAGATGATGTGCGGCAAGATGCAATGATCCTACGTTCTTGCGTACTTGGACGTAGTTCAATATTCAGCAGTTAGTTTCAAGTGAGATTACCTTATATTAATTATGCTCTCTCGACAGATCAAGTACACGGCGTACAACGGCTGGATATCTTCCGGCTTGGAGTCTTGGACCATCGACAAGGTGAGTATCATCGACAGTTTCGGCAAGACCATGTCGGTCTGCAAAAAAGGATTGACCTTGGAATCTGACCGACCGGTTTATCTACCTCTTTACCCCGGCGAGTGCAACATTCCCTTGGACGCAGACAACTCTACATTGCCGCCGTCGACGCCGTCGTACGAGCACGCGGTCGACGAAAATAAGCAGTCGCAGCAACAGCAACAGCACCATTACCAGAACAGAGGCATTGGTCCGTTTACAAAAGAGAATAATTACGATACCAAGGATGGACACTCCATAGAGATCCCACCATCGGACAAGAACATGAAAAGGAAGAATCTCGGTCCGTTCACGAAGGAGCAGAACCTTCGTGTCACTGATGTTGAGTCGAATTTCGGCACGACGAGCACTTTTGAAGACACAGCAAATCGGCGTGGTTCCGGCGCCACGAGTCCGTGGATCATGCTGGACATATCGAGCGACGGAGACTCCAACTCCTTGGAGAACACTGAACAGGAGCGCGGTAGGGCTTTCTCCGGCGGCGCCAATCTGGTCTACCACACCTCGACGCCAATAGAGCACGTCGACGAGACAACCACTGGTGTCACTACCACAGAGCACTTGTCGGAGATCAGGGAACCAGTGCTACGGCTGAACAAAAAGGAAGTCGGCAGGTCGCTCAAGCTACCCGAGATCACGGAACCGATCCTGCGGCCGCGTACCACCCGACAGAATACGCGGAACGAGGCGGTGCCGTACGAGAGACAGCGCGACGAAATCCAGGAGACGTCGTCGACCTCGACCAGAGCGTTTACTGTGCAATTTTTTCCCGAGAGACTGGCGCTCATTCTGGCACAGGCAGAACAATACGCCCGAAATACCCTGTTGCCTTTAATCTCTCAGTATACGCCGAGCTTTGTAACCGGTGCGAGACATGAAGAGCCCAAGTATTTTCCTCTCTTGACCGAAATGCTGCGATCGAGGACTACTACCGAGGCCAGTAAGACGACTAGTCGGCAGAGGAATGACCAGGTCGCGTGGGTAAACAGTCGACGCAGATCCGACAAGCTATTTAAATTTGAAGACTCGTCCTCGTCGAGCCCGCAGGTGGACAATGGTGAAAGCGAGCACACTGCGTCGAAATCCGAGGTGCCGGTGGTAGTTGAAGCAGTGTATCCGGAGAAGATGGTAGCAAGCGACAATTTCAGCAACTTTGAGACGAGTACGATGCCGGCCGATACTCGCCGTGAAGACGGTGATTGGCGGCCCATCAGCGAGCCGACAACGATGTCTTCGGAGGATGTCTCGTCGCGGAGACCTCTGAATGCCTCGCGAGCGCTCGATTGGTCAGTGGGCTACAGTCAAGACTGGACTTCGAGAACGGCTGACTCAGGAGCGCAGCTGGCTAAGACTGACGATTGGGTGCCAATTACGATGAAGAGCGACGTTACAACCACGCCAAGCGCAACATCAAGCGAAGAGACGCCGGTGAGCAAGGAAACTGAAGTCGCTGAGAAAAAATTTGTCGAAAGCGAGGTTCTCGTCCAGGTCGACGAGAAAGCGACGACATACGCGAGCACGTACGAGAGGAAATTTATACCTCTGGTCGATTTGGAGGAAATGTCTGGTCCATCGCCTTCGTCGGCTGATTCCAGTGACATTTCCGAATCGCGTTCCGATACCACTACGGTTGCCACGCACATCCAGAAGATTCCGCGATATAAGGATGTAAGGACGAAGAGCGGCAGGACGCTGGTGAGGTCCGCGATGATGTTTCCGTACGCTTATGAGCGAAGAAACGATCCCAGGACCAGGTATATACCGTTGATTCCTGAAGAGGACATGGGCAAGTCTTACTCGCTCACGGAGAGAGATCGCTAACGTCGAGCACGTTATAGACTGCTTAAAAAGTAGGACGCCAACAGTCGCTCAGCGTTGAAACGTTCGCGCCGTTTGTTAACAGTTAGTTCTCCGGCGTGCAGGGTGTTGCATCTATAGGTCAGTGAAACAATTTGCAACGCTTTTTCATATTCCCTTTAATAGCAAAAATGAGTGTAAACCAAGAAGATGTTTAAGAATCAATGAGATCCAATAGATATGCTGTTATTGGCACTTATAAATGTTTTCTTAGTTGGATATTGTCAGACCGAAATTCAACCGAAATTTATCTAACATGATTGTAAACCATTTTGCAAACGAGTATGCTGCCAAATCCTAATTGAGTCTATATCTAAGCACGCACATCTGCCAGCGAGTAAGCAACCCGTCACTGACCAATACGTTGATGCAAGAGCCTGTACATATGTTTCTTTCTAACGTGACGGGACTTTCTAATTCGATGCTACCATGATGACTGATAGGCCAGAAGGAATCTGTTACTTCTGCGGCGATTGTAATTAAAGCTCGTTGAGAAACGTAGGATTAATAGTACATTGAAATCACTTTGATAAAGATCTGCATCGGATAAAGATCTTTACTAACGGCTTTTCAGTGTTCTTAAAAATACGGTCAGATATAGATGCTTCTTGAAGAGTAATATCGTTGCTCTCGGATAGTAAAATGAATATATCACTGTCCGACTCAAGTTATGCTCCAAAATCGAAGCTAAGCAAGAATGACGAGTTGTATCGCTGAATTTGGAAAACTATATTCGATTAGGACGGAATATAATTTTCAGTGACATGTGTTACAAAATGAATATCCCCGTCGCGGAATTGTGGCAGTTCGTGATAATATATTATACGATAGTTTAACACGTTCACTACCTAGTGTCACGTATGTGTGATGTACCAATCTCTCGACAGACCGACATCACATATATGTGACTGTGATAATTTTCCATCTTGTCTGCATAAACAAATTTAATGTTTTAATATAAAATGTCTGTTTTAACATGAAAACATATAGAGTGGTTTTAGAATGTCTGGTCTTCTCTATCTTGATTCTGTAACGGACGGTTTTCCAGGTGACCGTGGTAGTGAACGTGTCCTTCGCTGTTGAATTTTTGATTGATGACGTTAGAAGCGAGGAAATCCATGTTCAAAAATTCTGCAAAGTACATAAATAAAAAGATATATCCTAGAAAATAACAAATAACTAAGCACTCTAAAATACTCCAAATATTTTTCTTTTGCTCTAACAATCAAATAACTGCAAAATTAATGTAACAAAGCAATGAGGAAATGTAGTTTAAAAAGAAAGGTTTCGTGCCACATTAATTTTATTTATTGATTTTTCGTTGATTCATTAGTTATTCATTGGTAGTTACAGCAAATGGAAAGTATCCGTAGTCTTTTAAAGGTGTGCTTAATTGATTGCAAGTGTTATTTTCTGAATATATTTTTTTAAATTGACGTAGTTTGCAGGAATTTTATTGTTTCTTAGACTTTGTATGAAAATTAAACATGTGTTTCTTGATATATTACGCGATAGAATAGTATATATAATTTAAAGGGATTTTTCACATGCGATTTGAGTTAAAGTGAAAAACGAGCTCGTGTTTAATTAAGACTTACTTGCCGTGTCATCTTGTCAAACCAAATAACGCTTACCGAACTAAAAATCTTTGTTCTTTTATAAGATTGCAAATAACATTAAAAAATTGCAAAAAAGATGGCATTTCTTTTTCTTCAGTGCCATTAGGATCGTGCAGACTTAATGGTGTCAGAGGAGAAAGCTTTGATAATTTGTTACTTCCTTTCAGTTTTAGTAAAAATCGGGAGCCCTTAACTTTATTACCTCTGTATATAGGAATTTTTTAC